ACAATACAACGTATTATTTTGATAGAAGCAATATTAAGTCCAAGCCTGACTTGGGATTAGTCTTCTATTGAAATACAACCTTAACCATTACAAAAAATAAATATGAAAGTAAAATGTAGCAAAATGTAATTATCGATGTTTTTGAGAAATTACTCATATAAATAAGTATGTTTAGATGAGGAAAGATAAATATTTAGAAAACAAAGCAAAAAACACTTGCGTAATGAAGTAGCTTAAATTTTGTTAAAAAGGAACAAACTTATTAAAAGTTTGGCGTCATAACATTTCACATTGATTTCCCCCGGTGGCGAATCTGGGGGTTTCTTGAGGGGGGGGAGGGGTGGCGCATTAATAAAGGAATATTTTGATTGTTGTCTACATCATCATTTATTCTGCAGGTTTTTTATGCACTTAAAAACAACAATAAATAGTCTTTAAAAACAACACAAAGAAAAAGGGCCCTCTGATTCATACGCATCTTTAAGTAGCGTAATGAAGAGCTATTGTCCTGGATCCGACTTGCCCACCACTAATTACGTATAGGTCCAGCAATTTACGAAACAACAAATTTTCTTTTAATTAGTTAAATGGCCCTAAACCGAAGTTTAAGGCCTTGGAAAAATTCATTAAGACCCATTTATATTGACCCTCTCCACGGAAATCTTTAGTAAAAGGCGAAAGATTTATTCGCTTTGAAGAGAGTCCAGGGTAAAGTTTAGCCGTAAAATTTGCTCTGTTATACCCTCTACGAATATTGGCCATGATAGATTACTCCGTTGGCGCCATCTCGGCGGGAGACGGAAACTACAATATTTGGAATGTCGAATCAAGGTATTTCCAATAATGGTGAGTTTTAGCATTGATTTTCTAAGGGAATCAAAAGCGAAATCATCAAGTCAAAAATCTGGAATTTATCTCCAGTGTTTTGACAAGAGTTAATAGAATGAGCCTTCTGCGAATTCGATTTGTTCGTTTGGCAGTAAAGCTTCGCAACGAGTTAGCTTCTTTAATAATAAAGATTTGATCTTTGCTCCACTACAGATAAAAATTGTAAAATATAAATGGGGGTAACACATTGTGGTGGAATCATGAACACGAAATTGAAACAAGAGACCGGATGATTTCAACGAGCAGCTTTTACTCACACTGAGAAAAATTGCAAAACTTCGAATAAAAAGATGTTAAGGCAAGTCTACCGAAATGTGGAAAACACTAAAACAATTAGTTCGCACAAAAGGTAATGAGCGAGAAATGTCAAATAATAAAATCCCGAAAATATAAAACCAATAATAACAAAAGCCTAGAAAACACTACAGGAACAATAAAAAATGAATGTCAAATGAGAATCTTTCAAAAAAACTAATAAGTAATAAATATTTCAATGTTATTATCCAAAGCTTAGAAAAAGGAAAATATCCAGATGCATCTCATGTACTCATGAGTGCACCGCCCAACAGAACAATGGCGTCGTTGCACATTTTTTTTCTTTTATAAAATTGATTATTGACGAACAAATAAGGGCCCTACAATTTTTTTTCACATTCTCTCTAGTCGTAACAAATCTATCAGCAGTCAAAGTTTAAACTTACACAAAACGCGCCGAAATGACGAGTTTTGGCTGATTGTAATGTGACGTCACGAAGCATGATTCTGCTCCGCCACATTCAGCGCTTATACGTGTTTCCATGCTCTAATGTGAATATTGTGTGTTGGTTTGCTAATTTCTCAATTATTGAAATTAAAATGGCTTATAAGTACTGTACCACTACGTCTACACCAGGAAAAACATTTGTAAAAGTACCATTGAACGAAAAGCAACGGATAAATTGTGGTTGAAAGCAGGGCGGCGAAACTGTACCGATCTTTCGGCAAAAAGTAACATTTATGCCTATGGGGATCATTTCGATGTAAGTTCGCATAAAAGCAATAATATTTATAGGGTTCTTAACCCTGTGTGTTTGTTAGATTTAGGTTCCACCTTTGCTTCATTATGTTCAATTTTTGTTTATTTTATTACACAGCTTCAAAAAGACATGGAAAATTTTATGGAGTGAAAAATGATGGGAGTTCACTAACACGCACATCACTAATGGCGCGAATTGACGGCATTTAACCTGCGACACTTGTGACGTTATAATAATAACGGCAAATTTAACGTCAGTCAAAGATCGTTCACACAATGACATCCTCCACAAAAGTGACATTGTCTGAACAGTTGAAGGTCACAGTGTAGCGACGTGTCACGTATGAAAATGGTTTGATATATGACACCGTGACAGTTGTTACTGTCACGGCATTAGATGTCACGACATTAATGTCATCGTGTGATTGAGATTTAACGGACGGCAGTCGGGCATAGCTACCCAAAAATTGACTTGCTACCTGCGGAAACTTTTGTGAAAGTGCTTTTCATTATTTTACACTTACAAACTGTATTTCCTTTGCCTGGAAAATTGCATTAAAACCTGGAATATCGTAGATCTACTTTCCCCAAACCTTCCACCTGCATTCAAGACTGAAATGTTGGAAAATGAGCAACAGCGGATGGCACGGCAAAAATGGCAAATTCGCCCAAAACTTTATCGATTCATTTTAATCAAGCCAACTTTCATTTTTCATTTTCGAGATTCAAAGTATTCAAAGTATATTTTATCTTTCAGATCTATTCTGGGCAGGATTGAGAAATTTTTAATTTTTCTGACATTTGTTTAAAATCCGTCTATCTATATCAACAGGCAATCGCTTCCCCTTAGTAACTGAAAACATCCTCGACACTCCCAGAAATTTTCTAATCAAGTGAGTTTTTCCTCACTTAAAGCAGCCGATTTTCTCTTTCGAGTGATGATATGGACCCCATTCAGAAATTTTTGGTTTTTCCTTAGCTAATTTTTGAAGAATCCATGTTGTCAAACGACCAATCGCTTCGATTTATAAGTATATGAAATAATCCTGAAAACTCCCAGAAATTCCCCATTAAAGTGAGATTTTCTTCATTAAAAGCCAAAGACTTTTCTTTTCGAGTGATATTCTGGGCAGGGTTGAAAAATTTTTGGTTCTTCCTCAATAATTTTTTAAAAATCCGTCTGTACCAACGGCCAATAGCTTCCCCTTAGTAAGTGAAAACATCCTGAAAACTCTCAGAAACTTCCTATTACAGTGCGGTTTTCCACACTTAAAGAAGCCGATTTTCTCTTTCAAGTGATGTTATGGGTCGCATTTAAAAAGTTTTGGTTTTTCCTTATCAAATTTTTGAGAAATCCGTGTTGTCAAACGACCAATCGCATGGAATTAGTATCTGAAAAAATCGTGGAAACTGCTAGACAGTTGCTATTAAAGTGCGTTTTTCCTCATTAAAAGCGGAATATTTTCTATTCCTAGTGATGTTATGAGCGGCATTCATAAAAACTTGTTTTTTTCTTGGCGAATTTTTGAAAAATCCGTGGTCTAACGACCAAAATCGGTTCGATTTAGTGTATGAAAAAATCCTGAAAACTCCCAGAAATTTCCTATTAAAGTGAGATTTTCTTCATTGAAAGCCGAAGCTTTTCTCTTTCCAGTTATATTTTGGGCAGGCTTGAGAAATTTTTGGTTTTTCCTTGACATGTTTTTAAATCCGTCTTTCTATACCAACGGGCAATCGCTTCCTCTTAGCAACTGAAGACATCGTGGAAACTCCCAGAAATTTTCTAATCAAATGAGTTTTCCTCACTTAAAGCAGCCGAGTTTCTCTTTTGAGTTATGATATGGACCGCATTTAGGATTTTTTTCCCTGGACGAATTTTGGAAAATAATGAAGATAATCTAATGTTCTTGATAAATTATAAAATTACTGTTAAATAATCTTAATCCATCAAATTGTCTTTTGTCTCCCCGTTATAAATCACTGAACAAACTTTGGCTAAATTGCCCCTCTGCAGAAAATAAACAGCAAGCAATTATGCACATTGTCTAATGTTAATCTTCACATTGACTGGACAAGACAATGTGGACAATCTGCTAATAAGTCTAGCATTCAGATTGACCAACGCGTACGCCGTACGTCATTTTGCATATTGCCCAAAGTAGTAGCGATTCTGCAAAGTGCCTTGCGAGTTGGTCAGTTTGCAGAATGTCTAGGCATTTTGCGAATCTGAGCTGGTGCGTTGGGTTGGCGCACCAACTCATGAAAATTCAGTAAGTCGCCCAGGCCCATTTGGAACTGTCGAAGAGCCTTTTCGCACTCTGCACCGCCTGAACGGCCACTCTGCAGCGCTGATGAGAAGCGCACGTTAACATGAAGCAGACTAAAGTAGCTCGTGTGAACGCCAGCATTTCAACTAATGTATCGCTATCAGTGGCGCTTCTCGGCGTTAAAGCCCGTTTACACGCTCAAGCCATCTGAACGATTTGGCTTGCGCAAGCCAGATCTGTGCAGATGAACTGAACGAAAATCTGGCGTTTACACGTTCACAGACAAGAAATTCCTATTCAGCAACCATGGTTTACCCCATTTCCTTCCTAGTTTTTAAGTTCATCTTTTTTTTAATTACACACACTGCAGCCGTTGCAAGAATGAACTCTTCGTCCAAATGTTCCATCTTGGCACATTCCATTCATTGGTTCCTTCACATCTGTGTAAAACGAACTGAACGTGTAAACGCCAGATTTTCGTTCAGTTCATCTGCACAGATCTGGCTTGCGCAAGCTAAATCGTTCAGATGGCTTGAACGTGTAAACGGGCTTTTAGTCAACCACTGAACCCCACAGAAGCGCTGCTAAATCGGTAGTCCGGCCTTGGTTGCGCACGTATGAGTAGCTCCTGAATGTAAATCAATGTTCTTTCAAAACGCGCTTCTCAGCAGCGCCACTGAGAAGCCCTGCAGAGTCGCCCGTCTGAAATGGCTCTTAGATCTGCTTTCTCGCCTCGGACCGTATTCCGGATAAACTTACCCAACACAGCGTCGTCCCGCGGATTAATCTTTAATTGACGCACATGTCGAGGGCGGTAGAAGAAAGGTTAATTGACCCGAAAGAAAAATTATCCTTATAATTAACAACATGAAAACAAAAAGCTTCAAAATGTGTCGCATTTGAAAATAAAATTACCAAATACATTCAGCGAAAATAAACCATATAAATTCAGCACAGTCAAGTGATAGTTTTTTGATGGAACAAGTCCATCGTAATGGCGCTTAGAAACACCGGAATCGAATTCTGATGAATCAAATGCAAATCGATCATAGAGCCCAAAGTGGCACTGAATTCATTCTCCAGCAAGTTCAGATCGCCCTCTTGATTCACTTCGAAACACAGAATGTTATCAGCACTCTCAGCGTACATGTTCCTTAACTTGTAGATGCTGGAATTTGACGGTCTATCGATTTTGTAACCGAACAGCATGTAAATCACGTTACGGAAATCCTGCATCGACGTCTTGAAATAGTCTTTCAGTCTTTGAGTTTGCTTCTCATTGTTCTTGATTTGCTCTTTGAGGGCCTGGACTTCTTTAGGGCAAATTGAAACATCACCTTCAAGCAATCAATTATATTTTCCAGTTCAGTTCAGGCTCTGGTTTTTCAATTTACTCACCCAGTTTACTTGTTTCGATGCCTTCTTCCATTTTCTTCAATTTGGACTTGAGCCGAAGGTTTTCCTCCTTCAATTGCTCCAATTGTTGTTCCCTTCTGCCAACTCCTTCCGAAAACGGGTTTGAGGCCAAATGGACGACCTGTCCTTCACTCACTATGTCTTGCCCTGAAACCAACGGCAATTTAATGGCAAGTTGAAACTCATTCATAAAATCATGTTCACCTTCAGACAACGATTCCAGTTGAATTTCCAATTTGTCGCGCGCTTCGCGCAACTGTTCGTTCTCGTGCCGCAACTTAGCAACATCATCTTGAAGTCTGGACAGTTGCTGTTGCCTTACAGGGACGGATTCTGGAAAATCCAAGCAATGCTTTCAATCCAGATTAAAAGAACCCATCCGATGAACAAACTCACCTGCATAAAGTTGCGGCTGAGCTTCTTGCAGGTCGCTCTCGAGCTTAGCCAGCAGATCTCTGTAGCCATCGATGATCTTCTCCAGGCTGTCGATTCTTTCCTTCTGCCTCTGAGCAATGCTGGAGCCCGGCTCGGCGCCATCATTACAGCTGGCCACCATTGTCAAGTCCCTTTCGTAGGAATCCAACTGCAATCTGTAGCTGTCCCTTTCACGGCTAATCAACAGTAACTTTTTCTGTAGCCGATGAATTAGCGTCTGCTTTGCCTCTCCAGTCGATTTCAAGTCGTTGATGTGCTTTTGGTGTTTATCTAGTTGACTCTGCGCTAGTTTTGCTGCCTGTAAAACGAGAGTGAAGACTTCCATACGGATTTTAATGAGTGGGTGCTTACAAGCTGGGCAGACTTCAGCTGGCCTTCAAAGTCCACTTTTTCCGCTGTAAGCGAAAGTTCTTGCTGCTGCAGTCGTTCAATCGCCGACCGAAGCAGATGTGGTAGAACAGCGTCACTTTCGGTGGTCTCGCAAAAACCTCTAGCCACAGCCTTCCATTCGCTAAGATACATTTCGTTTTGATCGCACTTTGCCTACAGAAAAAAATGGCCAATAATGCATCAAGTCGCGCTAAGTAAAAAAAAAACTTACTCGAAGCTCAGCTGCCCGCTTTTCCAGCTCTTTTGACTTTGTCAGCCGGTTTTTCAAGTCATGTACTTCTTCCTCCAGTAGAAGTTTGTTCTTTAAGTTGTCTTTCAGCCGCGCGAAATCCTCTTTAAGCTGCGCATTTTCCTTCTCCATTTCTGCGAATTTTGCCAATTTGTGGGCTTGTGACTGAAAACACTCCCCATTAAAAGCGATTTAAATAGACATGGTTTGATAGCCAACCTTTGCTTGTTGTTGGGCCTCCAAGTAGTCCTCCTTCGCCATTTTCAACTGCCTAATTTGGTTTTTGGCCTTCTGCAGCTCGACGTTGGCCTGCTCTAGTTCGATATCAGTCGAGTTCTTTTCGTTTAGCTGTTTTGCTAGAACAAATAGTTTATGAAACGTTGGCAAAAGCCCATTTAGACGGAAGTTAGTCAAATAACTAACCAAGTTCGGCAGCCAACTTCTTTTGGACTTCGGCATCTGCTTCTGCAGCATGCAAGACATACTGCAGTTCTTCAATCTTTCTCTTCAACTTAAATGACTCGATGCTGCCTTCGGTGTTCGCACAATGCGAGTCATTCTTCAAGTCTGCAATTTCTTTTTCCAGGGCCATAATTTCCTCGTCAGAGGCCACCTTCAATTGCTCGTACTTGGCTTTAATCTAAAACAATTACATGGTCTTTACGGCATTTGGGCAAGGCCCACTAATTACCTCTGAGAGTTCCAACTTTACTGCAGTCTCTCTTCTCCTAACAGTCTGAAGATGATCTTCCAGCTCTTCAATAGTCTTCCTATCGTACTCATGCTGTCTCTTCAAAGATTTAGTTTCACTGTCGAACACCTCCTCCATAGCTTTTCGAGCATTGTGCATCTGCTGGATTCGATGCTCCAAATCAAGCACGGTGGCTTTAGCTGTCCGCAGTTCGTGCCTCATATGATTCACCTCCATGGGCGAAGCCCGGCAAGATAGGTTAAGTGTGCTCTCCCTTTTCAGCCTTTTCAAGGGCGTCCCTTCATCCATGCTACTCTCTAACGAGCACGGGCTAAAAGTCCGTTTTAGCGGCGTTTTGTCGGGGCCAGCCATGTTCGGATTGCCGACCGTATGCAGTTCCCTAACGATTTTGATTATGGTTTCATTCACTTTCGTCGCGTTCATTTTACGAGAGAACCAAGATTTAATAGTTTAAACTTTGTATTCAAAGCACACGTAAACACACGAAAGAAAAATCGAAAACTGAAATGATTATGATTAATTGGTAGAGAAATTTACTGATCGCAATAAACACAACATGAGCACATACATCATACATAAATGTCATAATGACAGCTCGCCAGCTCACGTCACGTCAAACAAAGAAGTAGCTTTGACAGTGTTGCGACTTTGTGCGACGATTTGGGCGTGGTGAGAGTTCAATGTTGGGAAATTTAGGGAAAGTTAAGAAGTTTTGACTGATTTTAAAATTTTCAAGGTTCGACTAAAACTATGCGAGTTATGGAACATAGAGCTCTCATTATAAAAGATATTTTTTATATCTTTCATGGTTTTTCACTAATTTCAACGCTACAAAACCCAAAAGTTAGAGAGACTGATGATATTTCAACTCTTAATTTTCCAAAATTCAGCCAAAAATAGCTCGTTATGAAACAAAGAGCTCACATTTTTCAAGTGTAAAATGTTACAATTTTTATGTTTTTAAGCGATTTCAACGGTTTTTAACTTTTGGAAATTCTACCGAAACTAAGCGAGTTATGAGCCACAGATTGCATTATAAAAGTGGGATTTTTGACAACTTTTATAGTTCTTAGACGATTTCAACGCTACAAAACACAAAATTAGAGAGACTGATGGTGTTTAAACTAAATAAATTTTTCTTAATTTGCCCAAAAGAAAGCGAGCTCCTAGCCATAGAGCTCTCACTTTTAAAATAGACAATCTTCTTACAACTTGTATGTTTTTAACCGATTTCAACGTTCAAAAATGTAGGCACTTTTGACCTGTTTTCAATTTTTGCAAATTCGATCAAAACTAAGCGAGTTATGAGCCATAGAGCTGTCATTATGAAAGTGGGATTTTTTATAAAATTCCGGTTTTTTAACCGATTTCAACGCTACAAATTTGTATGGTATTGAACCGATTTCAACGTTCTCCAATCCAAAATTTAGATAAATTAGTGCACTGTTGACCTGTATGTACTCTTGAAAAAAATGTCCGTGTTTAGCCCTTACACAGGCATAACCATTTGAAGCAATGTTGCCAGTGCAGCTCGAAATTCCTGCATTTCTGACTAATCTCAGCATAACAGCTTCGGTTCGGTTTTTCAATTTTTACACATGTTTTCTTCACTTATATGGGAAATAATCCGAAAGTTTTTCATTTGACAGTCGTGAGGTTTTCCAATGACGATTTTCCCGTTAAAAATTCCTGGATATTTTCGCTGTTTTAAGAGCTTAACGGGACCGGCAAAGGTAACATTTTGTGTCAAGAAAAAACTGGTTTGAAAAAAAGGTCCACGAATGTCGCTTAATTAACTGGGGCGACCTTTGCAGATTTCTTATAGGCCGGATCCATTGTCATATTAATATTCATTAATTTCCCGGTCCTTATTGGCCATTTAACATCATCTACAGGGTGTTTCCATATCCAGAAGCAAGTGGGTTGATGTACGATTGCGGAGTGATCGAGAACTGAAAAGAAAGAGATAAGCTTCTTTTATAACGCCGGAAAGTTTCGTTGCACTGGCCATCATCAGGGGTTTGCGGGCGAATTTTGAATGAGAAAACTACTTCAAACTGTGCAGGCTTGATATAAAAAATAAATTTTCCAAAACCAACAGAGGCAGACAGGTGCAAATATGTGTATTAGAAAGAGAGAAGCTTCATTTAGAACGGCTTAAAGTTTCGTTGCACTTGTCATCCTCAAAACCTTGGTCCTAGTGGAGAAATTAACGGAAGGAGCCAAGAGGCAACGTTTTATGACAAAAGTAATGAATCTCTGGAGTTTTAAACAAGTCGCCTTGTGCTATGGGAAAGGAAAACGACGACGAAGTCTTTGCTCAGCCAGATGAAGAAATATTCATGGAGAGTCCGACTGAGGATTTTTTAAAGCGGCAAGACGCCGAAGATGTTGTGGGTTTGCAGGCGAAACACGACACTTGCACGGGTGCCAAAATTGAAGATTCATTCAAAGAAAATAATGCGGTTAAACTGCAAGGGACCAAAAGTGAAAACCACACAAAAATGCCCGAGTCTTTGAAAAGGAAAGAAATCGAAGGCACGCTTGAACAGGCCCTCCGAAGAAGTCTGTCGGAACCTTTAAATGCCCGGAAAGTGATTCTGTAGCTTCACACGCTAAAGAGAAGACGCCTCAAAGTAATCGTAAGAAGTCCGCAAGGGTGCTAGCAAAATTCCCACATATATCAGTGAAGAACCAAAAAAGTCTGATGTCTGTAAAAACCCCAGAAAACTACCACTGAGACAGTGTAGTGTTCAAGCATCCAAAACAACCACACGTGAAGATCCTGTAAATCATCTAAACCCATCAAAGAAGATTGTGAAGAACGGCGTGCAGAGGCCCTTAAAAGTACTGAAAGTGACCCTTCAGGTTTAGTCACAAAGCGGAAAACGGTAGCCAGAAGGAAAAACATGTGTATAACTGAGCCTAAGTGGAGTGGAGAACCAGCAAACCCTGTACCTTGTGTTACGACCGAAAAAGGACACACAGCCAATGTCGAATTAAACCATCTGTGGAGCCTAAGTGAGGATAAACCTAAAGAAACCTCTGAAAAACGGAAGAAATCCAAATCAACTTTCCCAAAGAGAAAAACCGTGGAATTAAGTGTGGAAGAAACGAAGAAGCCGACAAGGAGCCGTCGCGCGGCCTCAAACCAGAATGAAGAACCGCAAACAAGGAAAGCGGCGAAACGACGAATAACAAGCAAACAACTACAAAAAAAAAATTCTTTGTTAAAACTAACTTATAATATGCCGAGAAAATCGGATTTCCTGCCTCAAAATCGCATCAAACACAGCTTCGGCTTCTATGGCCTGGAAATGCGGATGTTTCTGCAGGATTTTGTTGTGTTTTATGCGATTCTCGACCGTCGAAATCACATAGGAGTGCTGAAGGGGCCCGGATGGGATCCGCGCCAGACATTTGCCGCCGCAGGCCTTAATTCCTCCTGTAACAACACGTCCTATTAACCCCCAAGCACAAGCCAATGAACCCGATTGGTACCTTTAAGGACGTCCACTCCATTGGTCACTTGGATATAGAAGTTGTAGTCCTTCAGCAGGTTCTGCGCCATGCTCCGTTGCAACGACTCGTTCAGAGAAAATTCCCAATTTGTCTCCGCTTCCGCATCGGTCAGGATATAGTCCCAAGGATCTGGAACAGACCTAATTGAGTCAACCGATTCCAGTTGAGCTTTCTGAGCTCACCTAGGAACTGCTTGGCGCGTTTCGAGTCCAATACCCATTGAGGTGAGCAGATCGGTCGTCCCCTGCCAATGGCTTCTAGGAGCTTCTGAGACCTTTTCACGTGCTCAGTGATCAGAACGGTGCAAGAGTCCACCGAGTCCACAATGCTGCCGCCTGGAAGATTCGCTTTGAAGAAGCGCAGATGAATGGAGGTGAGTCTTACCTAGTTGCTTGATCAGAGATTCCAATTGGGGGCTGTTCAGCATGGTGAAGACCACTTTGTGGCGTTGTTTCCGCAGGTTTCCTCTCTAAGAACACACAGCAATTAACTGGGATCTTTAGTCAATGTTTTCAAATCACTTACCGGTGAGTCTTCTGATTGAAGCCTCTGTTTCTTGGATGAGCTCCCTTCATCTGCGGCCCGTTCTTTATTGGCTCGTTTGGCCGCTTTTGTTGCTGGTGGTTTTTCATTCGGCTTTGAGGTCTTGGCGCGCTTTCCTTCTGCTGCCGCTCGCCGGCTCCTTGGCATCTCCTCTTCATCCACACTTAACGCCATGCTTTTCCTCTCTTTCGGAAAGTTGATTCGGATTTCCTCAGTTTTGGTCGTCTTCCTCGTTTTGATCATTTTTGAAGCCAGCAATGCCATCGATTGGTCGATGTGAGTCGGGTTTGCTATTTCTTCTTTGCTTGTTTCCTCTACACAGACTGCTGCTACATCTTCCTCGAGATTAGTCGGTTTTTTAGGTTTATCCCCACTTTTAGCCTCCACAGATGGTTTAATTCGGCACTGTCTCTTCAGCCTTTTGGGGGGTTTTTCAATATCTTCGCTAGCAAAATTGTGTCCCGACTTGGCTGGTTCATCATTATTGGCCTCAACGGGAATTTCGCCATTTATTTGGGAGTTTTTGCAGTCACTTCGAACCGTTTCCTGATTAGCATCAGAAGCTACATAACTACTTTCAGGGCATTTAAAGGTTTTGTCAGATCTTTCTTTAGCGTCTTCGATGATAAAAGGGTTAATAGAATTTGCAGCTCGTTCGCGTTTAGAGGGCATAGATGTTCTATCGATCGTTTCTTCAGATTTGGCCTCTACAGACGAGTGGGAACCGTTCGGCAGCTGGGGCTTGCTGCATGTATTTTCACCAGCCGCAAAAGTTTCACGGTTTCCAGGGGCCTGTTTAGGCTTGGCTTCGATTTCTTCATCATTCAAAGACTCGCGTATTTTTACATGGCTTTCACTTTTCTTCGCTTGCAGTTTAACCGCATTACTTGTTTTGAAATAATCCTCGCCTTTAACCCCCGTGGCTGTGTCCTGTTTCGCCTGCAAACCCTCAACATCTTCGGCATCTTGAGGCTTGGAAATATCCCTAGTTGGACTATCCATGAATGTTTCTTTATCTGGATGAGCAATGACTTCGTCGTCGGTTTTCTTCCCCGTTGCTGCAGAATCGAGTTTCGCTTGGCCAGTTTCAGCTTCACCTACGGCCAAAACCGAAAGCGAAGCATCTAGATTGCACTTGGTTTTCTTGAAGGAATACACCCGTTTCGGAAGCAGAACCCTCTGCGTTGGAGCCAAGAAAAAGTCCTCATTCTCTTTGGGTGCAGCCGCGCTGAAGCTCAGCTTCTGAGTGGGTGCCAGAAAGGTATCATCATCGTCAGAGACTTTCTGAGTGGGGCTGTCATAGTCAACGTCTTCTAGCGCTTCGGAGAACATCGGTTGTGTGGGTTGAAGAAATGAATCCTCCACTGTGCGGAGTTTTTGAGTGGGAGCGTCAAAGATATTGAACGTCTCGTCGGCAGTGGACGCAACTTTTTGAGTGGCTACCTCATAGATGTCTTCGTTGTTCTGCACGGCCTGAGTGAGGCTCACGTGGGTTGTGTCGATTGATTCGTTTTCTTCTGGTGCTGGTTCTGCGGCCTGACTTGTGATCCCGTTCAGGCTAGAATCCATCAACTGCGTTAGCCCCAATTTGAAAAACTCCGACTCGCTGCTTTGACTATCCGGGCGCAAAGCTTGAGTGGCCGCAATAATGTCGCTTTCATTCAACTCCAGGGCTGATGGATATTGGGTGGCTGGAATCGTTTCCTCCAACTGATGGCTGCTGGACTCACTCGCGTTTTCTTGAAGATCCTGAGTGGAAATCACCATAAAAGACTTCCGGGTTCGCTTGAACGCAAAAGAATCATCATCACTGGAATCGCGGCTTTCTTCTCCATTAGGCTGTGCCGTGGTTGGGGACTGGTTCAAAAACTCCAGAGATTCATTACTTTTGTCACAAAACGTGGCCTCATGGTTATTTGCATCATGCTCTCCACTAGGACCAGGGTTTTCCTCACAGTCCGTGACTTCATTGTCGCTGATCACCACAGGCGAAGAAGGCAGATCTTCAACCCTTTCCAACTGTGGATCTGGTTCGAGTTCAACATAATTTTCCAAAACCGACAAAGGCTCATCATGGATTTCGCCGATTTGAAGCCCTGGTACATACGTGGGAACCGACGGGGGCCACAAAATCTTCTGAGTGAGTTCTTCCTGAACATTCCCAGTGGACTGCATCAGTTGGGTGCCTCCATCAAATAATGACTGAGTTTGAGTCTCAACCAATCGCTCCTCAAGGGGGGGATCCTGGAAAAAACGCCCCAGATAAGCGGATGGGTTTGCGAAGCCTGCCAAATCCTACCGATGTGATAGTGAAGGTTCCGTGCAAGTTCCCCAGGGTGATTTTGGCGTCGTTATTGAAAGGATACATTTTCAAGGGAACCAGTCGCATACCTTCCAGGAAACTGCCGTTGCTGGATTTCAGGTCGCTGATGAAAAACTTCCCGTCCAGTACCGTAATAAGCGCATGATGTTGACTAATGAGCTGCAACGGAGTGTCATTTACGGGCCCTGAATAAAATGGGGCTTTAATCCCAGCCACTTACAACATGCTTGATATTCACCACGGCCTCTCTGTTGCGTCCTATTGTGTTTAGACCCTCGTAAAGAGGAAATTTCTGATTGTTTATTGTAAAAAGGCCCATCTGAAACAGAGGAAATAGCTGGAACGAATGCGCTTTTGCCCGTTTGAGATCAAGCTTAGAGGCTATTTTGGCAAAGACTCTTTACCTGCGGGCCAATGCCCGGCGGCTGCATTGCGGCCCCAAGCAACTGGCTGCAAATTAATAAAACAATTAAAACATAAAACAG